GCTCCATTGGTTTGAGTCACGCCGTGACAGTTCTAGGCCCCAGTCTCCAGCATGTTGGAGCGAATGCCAATCATTAACCCCAATGGTCTCCCCGGCACAGGCAAATTGACAGTCGCTCGGGCCCTCGCTTCAGAACTTGATGCCGTCCTTGCACATGCTCACGAGACACCTTCAGGACCTGCCAAAGTTGTGCGCAACCACCTCCTCATCGATCCTGCCAATGCAGTGCTCAGCAGAACGCAGCCCGACTACTAACATCTACGAAAAGCCATTCGAGACGCCGTCTTGACACATTGACCAACCAGCCATCGACCTATGGTACGACCTACATATTCACAGACTGACAACTCGGAGACAGCCTAGGCTCTCAGGTCTGTCATGGATTCGAGGCAATGGTTCATGTACGGCAATGCCAATTGATCCCTGTCATCATGTATTGCGATGAGGACCCGAACATTCGCAGGCTATTGGACGGAGAACGGGTTCTCTGGAACAGGCTCACTGATGCCGATTTGCTTCGTCAGTTCTGCCCTTGAACATGCCAACAACACACTGCGTGACCAGCTCCTGATCAGTCCAAGCCGAGCCACTCTGCGTCGGCGTCTCTGACAAAGCATAGCTAGTCGCAAACGCGCCAGCAGCCCAGCCGAGCCAGCCCATAAACACATCGCTGTACTTGTTGACCTCGTTAAACTGCTGGCAAAGATCAGTTAAGCAGGAAGAATCAGTCGCCCCGCCACCAGTCTCGGTGAGGATGGCCTGACGCTTGTTGGTGCGGAGCCAATCGCCGAGAGTGGAGAAGATGTCAACGTTATTGGTGGCGCAGCTGGTCGATGTGCCAGAGCCGTCGCTGTCAAGGTACTGGTGCACGTCGAAGATGAGGTTGTCGGTCGAGCCGTCCAGGTTGGTGACATTGAGGAGGTAAGGGCCCGAATTGGTGGGGAACTCCTCAGCGTGAGTCCAGTCGTTGCCGGGGATGAGGATGGTGTTCGAGGTTGCTCCGGCTTGACGGATGGCGGTGACGGCTGCCTGGGTTGTAGCGGACCATTCGCCAATGCTGGGGACGTCGTGGGGCTCGTTCATGAGGCCGAAGACGACGTTGGTCGAATTGGCGTACTTCGCAGCAAGCTGTGACCAGAGATCAGAGAATTGGGCGTTGGTTGGTCCGCCTTGGCCGATGATATTTCCGTTCCAACGGGCGTAGTTGTGGATGTCGATGATGCACATCTCAGCACCCGCGTCCAGGCAGCCCTGAACCAGCTTGTCATAGGCGGCAAAGTTGGTAGCATCGAGGTCGCCACCGAGCTCCGAATTGACCAAGTACTGCCATCCCACCGGCAGGCGGAAAGCATTAAGGCCGTCGTCGGTCACAAAGTGCTTGATCTGGTCAATGCCGTTGGTGCCGGGGTCGGTGATGCCCGAGACGGTGCAAGTGCCGTCAGTGCTGCAGCCGAAGTCGAAACCGCTGATGTTGATGCCAGCATAAGTGACCTTGCCAGTGGCATTAGAGGATGCTGCGCTGGACGAGCTGGCCACAGTTGAGGAGAATGAAGACGATATCATGGTAGCTGCCGTCGAATAGGTCGCCGCAGTCGATAGCACCGAAGTCTCAGCCGACGAGTAGGCCGCAGAGGACACTGCGGAGGTCTCGTACAGTGAAGCCGCAGAGACAGTGCTCGTTCTCGTCACTGTGACCTATAGCACTCATGTCAGCCCGCGGTCTGATAATCGAGCAACGCTGGGCTGTTAACTGATTGGATCCTCGTTGTCGAAAAAGCTCTTTTGCGCAGGCATTTTCAACCTCTTCACAGTCCACAAGCGTAGTCAAGGCGTAAATGTGTCTTGCACTTTGAGCTACTTACCAGAGAATTGCTGGTCGGCCAAGTATAGCTGGTCGTGTTGTACCCAGCCGGTGCCGTACCCGTGACCAGAGGAGCAGTGCCCGTTGCCAATGGAGCAGTGCCGGTGGCTTGAATGCCTTCGATCTCGTCTTAGCATCTAAGACTATCAACGACATAGTCAAATCGTACTGGGCTCACATTGGGCGTAGTATGGGTTGTACAGGTTGCAGGTCCACCCTTGGAGGCAAGTTGTTTCACCTTTCCAGTTGATGCCACCGCCTATCTCGGATTAGCGACTGGGCACTTCTGTTACACGCATCCACTTACATTGTCCGTAGGCAGATTGCTGAGCGTGGGCAGAACCAGCTGCCACAGCTATAGACGAGGCAATAGTCGAGGTCTTCATGGTGACCACAATGGAAAGAAGCGTGAAAAGAGTGGCACGCTGTGCAGAAAGGCCTGAAAAGGCAGTGGTGTCTATGCACGACAGAGAAAGATGGAAGTTGGTGATAGCAGAAGAGGAAGCATAACAAGAACTGAATGAGCGAAGGTTATATACTGACTGCTCGACCTACACACGCCTTTCGAGCCGGCCTGGATGATTTCCATTGGCAATATGGTATGCGCCTACAGTAGATTGAGCGCCAGCCTTCTAGAGTGCAAGCAGCGGCAGCCGATGTCTCAGCAATATATCGAGCATGTGGTGAGCGTTTGGAGTTGATATAGGCTGGCGCTAAGATCTGAGTCCGCTGTTAGGGAAAAGGACTGCCAGCTCGGTCGAAGCTCCTGCTTGAGGTGGGCTTCCGATTTCTGGTATTGTTACAATGGCCTCTTGAGAATCAGGAACATCTTTCATCAATCCTTTGACGTTTGCTCGGGATGGCCATGATGGATCTTTTGTTGTAGGTTCATGGAGTAGTCTGCGCTGCCGCCGGAGGTGTGTACGGAGGTATGACCGACGTCATTCTCACAAGTTCGACTACATCAGCGTCCTCGTCTGGGACGGTTCGCCCGACTTCGCTGGCGAAGGGAGGCGCAGAGAATATCCTGGTCGAGGTGCCATTTCACAATGCTCGGTCCAGGGGATTTTCTGAAACAGCTGGGGGCGAAGCGAGCCGCACAGCTGCGACTTCTAATGCTTGTTACTTGGAAAATTGCTTGGTATGGACGACAACGGCGTCTCGAACCTTCATTCGAGCTGTCGCGCAAAATGGCGACTGAGAGGTCAGCTGCAGCTTGGAAGATTGCTGCTGTAATCGTGGACTCGTGGGTGCCTCGTGGGCAAAACGGCTGCTATGCTGCGTCAGGCAAAGGCGATACCTTAGCCCTAAGGTAATGCCATCATTGTCCGGCCCGATCGGAGCATTTATTGTGCTCGCCCACGGGCAATTTCCGTCGCGTTTCTTCTCCATCAACTCTCGAGGAGTTTGAATCACGAATGACGAGACTGCTCGTCATACCAGCTGACTTCCGACCGCTACCCTACAGTGCTTACGCGTGGTTGTGCTCGAACGGTGTCAGCAAGGAGGCACTATCGGGGAAGCTGAACGACAACGAATCGCAGCCGTCTACCGTCGTTTTTAGACGCATCCGTCAGATACGAGATACAACAGACGTGATCCCGGCCGATTGCTGCCGTATCTCACGCTAGCGACACGCTCAACGAACGATCGCCGGCATCGAGTACACACTGTCTGCACAGCAAACCCATCGCCCAGAACGGCAGGAGCGAGTCAGGCAGCAACGATCAGTCGCAAGACACCAAGATGAGCAAAAGAGCACAGAGGCAGCAGGCAGCGCAAGAGGCGGGACAGATTGGACCCGCGGCAAATGGACACCCAGCAGCTCCCAGCAGGAAAAGTAGACCGGCAGACGAGACGAACGAGAACATATTCCTATTCTACCCTAATCTAATCGGTATGCGGAATTCCATATGAGGGAAGAACACGGCATGGCTGACAGCCTGGCTAGGCTATGTGCGAATCGTCCTCGCTGTCGCCTCGTTATACTTCATGCCGCTGCATCCACGACGATGCAGCTTCCTCTACTCCATTTCCTGCCTGCTCGACGCATTGGACGGAGTCGCCGCGCGACGATTCCAGCAATCTACGCGTTTTGGAGCGGTGCTGGATATGGTCACTGACCGGTGTACGACGACTTGCTTGTTGGTGTTCCTGGCTACCGCAAAACCTGCATACTCGATGATTTTCCAGGGTTTGATCAGTCTGGACCTGGCGAGTCATTACATGCACATGTATGCGACCTTGGCGATGGGAGGATCGGGACAGAGCCATAAGAATGTCAGCGCGAACAGGAGCTGGATCATGAACAAGTACTACACCAATAAGGTAATGGAGAGCCCAAACAATTACTCGATGGTAGGACTGACGACTTGCACAGACCATGCTCTTCACCTGCTGCGCACTAAACGAGCTCTTCTTCATCGCCCTATACCTCCTTTGCTTCAGCTCGCCCATCATCACGCCCGCACTGCTCCCAGCAGCTGGTCTCTCAACGAACGGAACGACGCCCGTCACCCCTCACCAGCCAGCCCCAAGCCTCCTCTTCCCAAGCCCCTTCAGCGCCGCAGCGATGGAAATGGCGAGAGCAAATAAGATGGACAGCACGGTGCCGTGGATCCTAACACTGGCGTCAGCGCCAGTCATGCTGCTGAAACAATACATCAACGTCGAGCAGCTGGTCAAGGCGAGCCAGTGGTTAGCGGAAGGCGATAGGCGGGACAGGAAGAAGCTGCAAGATGCCAGGAGGCAGTAGTGCGGATAGATGATCTGAAAGCTTTTCTGGATAGTGTGAAATATCTGTCGCTTAGCAAGGCGTTCCGGGCGCTGCGGAGGATTGCTACTTTGGCGACGGTCGTGCTAAAATCTTTGGAATCAACGAGTCTAACAGGACTGTTTCTCTACTCCTCGACTTTTACATTGCGCTCTTCATCAAGATGATCTACCTCGACCTGGCTGGAAGGGCGTCTTGGCTGCCACTACGGCCGTATGGTCTGGATCCTACCCAGCCGCCGAGATCTCACCGGGACGAGTTTTTCTTCCCCTCGGCCCACAGCGCCGCCTACTAGCCTCGGCCCACGGGTGCCTCTTTACATATTGGAATTGGCTCCTTTCCATCTCACCACCACCCCGGTGAGAAGCTCGGATGGTGTAGTTGGTTATCACGTCAGTCTTACACACTGAAGGTCTCGAGTTCAAGTCTCGATCTGAGTAATATCTGCTTCTTGTTTTGCACAGCTCGCACGCGCCGTCGTCTTCTTGGCGTGCGTGTTCATGAGCGTTGGCGCTTGCCAGCCAGCGACGGCTGAACCGCAAAACACGAGATGCTTTCCAGTCTTTTCTGACTATTCCAGTCTATTTGCATGTTTCTGCAGACTCAAGATCGCATAATTTAAGACCTGGCCTGGTTGGCTAGATGTCGATACCAACACTGACGGCGTCCATCGGCTCGAAATCTGGTTGAACTGCCTTGGATGCTCATGATGTTGCTTTTGGCAGAATACCAAAGACCGTTATGGTCGGATCGGCATACAGATATGACAATGTGGTCATCACGCGATACGTTCACGCCAAAATGCGGATTTGCCGGGCTTTGTGAGAGGGTCACATTCCGTGAACTGCTGTGGCGAGTATTGCTGTATAGACAGCTTCTCGGCCAGACTTGGCTGGCCAGCTTCGCAGGGTAGGAGGTATGGGTGAAGCTGCGCAGCATACGACGACACATCTTATTACGAGGAAGCGGCCGATCAGTATCGCTAAATATCTTAGGGGGAACGAGTGAGGAAGCGAATTCGAGCGACCTCGCTGCCTTGCTTGTATAGCTACATGCATGAACGGCGATGCCGCAACGAATCACGATGTGCGTGTCTTGAAGGCTGAGGCGACTGCAGAAGTGGGGCTTATGGACTTCAGTTCTCGACTAGGCTGCGATGATAAGCAATTTCGAACTCCTTCCTATTGCATTTACCACGAGATCTTCTGAAGCCCAGCATGGCTAGCGGTGCAACTCGACCGCTCGAGAACCCAGATGTTGAGCACGGCGATGATTGGGTACGGCAAATATCAATCCTGCCATTCCCGAAGAATCCTCTCTTTTACGGTCAAGAATCAATCATGGAACTTCTCTACGCAGAGCTCTGCAGTGGCGCCAGTAGGGGATCAACGGATATATCATCCGTTGTCCTGACTGGCCTCGGATGTGTTGGCAAGACTGCGATTGGTTTGGAATTAGCCCATAGACATCGCAAAAAGTTCGATGCCATCCTGTGGTTGACGGCTGAGACTCAGCAGGGTATTGATGCTTCGTTCGCAAGAGCGGCCCAAGAATTAGCAGCGGTTTTATCGGATGCTGATGCTACTATGGACAGGCTGGCATGTACTAAGAGAAAATGGCTGTTGATCATTGACAACCTGGACAACGTGGATCTTCTACGTGTCATTTGCCCAAGGATGAAGGATGGGGCGACATGGAGCCATCATTGTCACTACTCGCAACCGTAGGGCTGCGAAATACTTTGCGCCGACGGGTCGTCATGTGGAAGTCAAGCCGCTCAGTGATACTGAAGGCGCCGAGCTCCTCCTCAAACGCCTTCATGAGCATCGAGGTATAACCACTCAAGACCAAAAGGCGGCTCGAAAACTAGCAGCAAGCCTTGGCGGTCTTCCATTGGCGTTAGCACAGATTGCCGGACTCGCTCACCAAAGAAAGCTCTCCTTACATCGTCTTTGGAGAAGCTTCCATCAGCATTCAGAGCCTTTATTCTCTGATGATTTTTTCTCTGACGATTTGGCTCCCCGGTCTGGCTACACAATAGACTCTAGATGGAAGTATGGGTACGCGAGGCTCCAACCAACGACGACGGGATTTACATCTGGTGTACTCGCATTTCTCGACCCAGACCAAACACCGCTCAAACTATTTCAGATGCTTGAAGGAAGCGATGCAATTCAGGACCTGGACGCAAATATGCAGGCTCTGCATGATCTGAGCCTCATCCGGTTCAGCCACAACGACCAGACTGGAACCATCATCCAGATCCACAGTCTAGTTCAGGAGACATATCGGAAGTTCATGGACCCAATAACGAGGAGCAGATGCCTTATCAAAGCGGCTCAAATACTATCGCGGTACTGCTGTGGAAAACAAGATATACCGGGCTTTCTGCGCAGTCGCGCGATCGTAGTCCTCGAAAGCCTGAAAGGCTTCGCTGAAGACGACGAAGACATGGACATGCTTAAGTCATTGCCTGCTCGTGCACCTGTAGTGCCTTTGTACGTGCAGGTGCATTGTCAAGTTCTTATTTGGATGATGGCTCACATTGTGACAGAGATGCTGAACCACCTGCACAATCCGACTCAGACAGCCAAAGCTCTGCATCGGACGAAGGCAGTTCCGTGATCGGTGATGATCGAACAGATGCATCAAGCATGACTTCGCTATCAGTAGGCCAATCTGGCGATAAATCCGCTCCATACACGGAACAGCGCGTGGCAAATGCTCTTGTGGCAGATGCAAAATGCGGCTTTGCATTGCAGGGTCTCGCGACTCTACTTCCAGCTGATCGTTTTGAGAGCGTCGTGGCGAGTGTCCTTCACCTGCTGGCTTGGGACTTCAGAGACTATGCTGACACGAAAGCTGAGCACGCCCTGTTCCAGGTCATTTTGAAGCAGTACGAACTCATTGCAGCATCGGTCGCTGATTTAATAAGTCTGAGAAATGGCAAAGTCGATAGCCAAAACAGGGAGCAGGGCAAAGATGAAACATCTTGCGAGGATGCGCTTCAGGCGATTCTCGCTTCACCTGCGGCGGCCACGATGATTGAGTGGATTGATGGACTGCAAGTCGCAGAAGCGAAGCAGAAGACAGGCATTGAGCGAGTGTGGATGAACTATAGATGTGTAAGCCTATTCGAAGCTCAACGAGAAGGGGCTTACCTGATTGGTTTTGTTACAGTCTTGTGGGGCTATCATTGAAGACGTCTATCTTGAACAAATGAAAGGATCAGTAAATGAAACAATGGCACGACTTGAAGCAAAAACCACAGATCGCAGTACAGCTCGCTCTAGTTCACCGATACTGCCCACGTCAACCTCACCAGCAAATTCCGATTCGGTCCCGAGCTCCAAGAAGCGATGGACTCTAGGATACATGCACAGATGGCTTTGGTGTGGTAGACGTCGGCGCGAAAATAGTCCTAGGCCGCTCCATAATGGTCAAGCACAGACTGTGCAACGAAAGAAGGAGCTTCGCTGGCTCTTCGTATGTATTACACAAGACCGTATCTACCGAAAAACGATCAAGCGGTCGCTCTGCATCCTCATTGCTGATGACGAGGCACTTTTTCGCCAGCTGAGACGAGAGTTTGTACTCGCAATGGGCTGGTGGCGGCAATTCATGATGCTGAAAAGAGTCGAGGCGGTGAGATTTGTTCAGGTAGGGTTGCGTCAATGCCCAGAGAAGATCGCTGCACATCCGACCTGACAGATATGCATCATAGTTCCGTGTAATTGGTAATGTCGGTCTCGAAATCGAAAGGCACTCACAAATGGAGAGCGGCTACGAGGCATCGATTCCGCACAGCTCGAATCAAGACTACGAATATTCTCCGAGCCCAGCCAAACACTGGCCTCTTATCGGCCACAATCTTATGAAGCACTGGATATACTGTCCTAAGCGAGCGCGAGGCTCGACGTTGTGTACTGAACGCTTTCCGAAGCATTGCGCTCAAAACCTAGCGTTCAGCCAGGCAGGAGAGGATGTTCTGGGATGGGGGCTCGAACTCGTGGAAGGTCGATACTGGAAGTTTCTGTTTGTGCCGCTCATGCTGGTGCTTGCTTTTAGCATCGCCTTTGGTATAGTCCGGTATTATCTAAAGGGAGACATCTTGGGTGGATTTACGGTTGCAGGCTACATGGTCGCTGCATTCGCCGCCATGCTTGGCGCTGTCGAGGTTGTTTGGGACCATATCTGACCCAGCGCAAGGTCGTACGCTGGTCCCTTTGTGGCACAGTACGATGAATCGCCGAGGCGCACAGTTTCGTAGATCTTTGCACATCTGATGAACACAGACGAGTCACAATACTTTTCGTGAGTGGATGAAGCACCTACATGGCAGGAAGGTGCTTTCGTTATGAGCGATCAGCCCAGTATACGGGACTAGCCGATGCAGGTGCTCTTGAGTTATGGAGTCTTCGTACGTCCATACGTAAGAGGCAGGTAGCTACGATATAATGGACTACGTCTTCGATGGATCAGGTACTGGCCAACCAGTCCCATGAAATGGGTCGTGCCGTAAGGATGACCTGGCAAGCAGAAAGTCATGGACCGGTCCAGCTTCCATTGATCAGACTTTGTTTGCGATTAGCGATAGCCAGGATGACTTCCGGCGAGAATTATATGTTGTATTCCACTTCATCGAGATGCGGCTCAGTCAATTGTCTGGCATGTGATTCGATGGTCTGGGCGCCGGGGCGCAACGGCCCAGGGCAAAGCTTAGAACTATGCTATTCCTGTCAAATGCCCGGGGGCGCTCTAAGGGCCGTGAGGACACGAGCTGACGACTTCAAGCAGGTAGAGTTGCCAATGTCAATTGTCTAAAGCCAAGAATTTGCGCTGTCAAAGTAACACCACACGCAAAACATTGCCACAGTTGTTGATTGCGACAAAGGCCCAGTTGACACGAGTCCTTACCTCAGCCACCTCCTCGGGGCCGCGGTTGCGAGCGGCGCATCCCTGGCCATCGCTGCAGAACAACCACGACCACGGAGTCGCTACCGACCACTCGAGCACGCGACATCCTTCTCGACACTCGCTTGACGATACCATCACTTGCGATACCACGACAAGACCTACGATCCGTTTGACGATGACCGCACAATAGCACCACAGCGCTAAAGAACCACACTCGCTTCCTCGCTCCGACGGACTCGCCTCGCGCTGCGCACACTCGAATCATGATAGAGGACAAATACATCGGCTTGGCGCTTGCCGTAACTTCCACCATTGGCATTGGCGCATCCTTCGTCATAACCAAGAAGGGCCTCAATGCTGCTGCGGAAAGGCATGGCTTCGAGGGCGATGGGTTCGCATACTTGAAGAACCCCATCTGGTGGGGAGGCATAGTGTCCATGGCCATTGGAGAGATCTGCAATTTCTCGGCATACGCATTTGCACCTGCGATCCTGGTAACACCATTAGGAGCGCTGTCAGTCTT